GCCGCCGGCTGAGCACCGCAGTACCGGGGGAGGGGGTGGACCCCCGGGTGCCGGGGCTCGGCACCCCCGCACCGGGGCTGCGGGAACCCCGCACCGCGGGCTCATGGAGCCCATACGGGGCTCATATCCCCCCCCGGCGCTGGGGCTCGGGACCCCGAAACCGGGGGCTCGCATCCCCCTAATCCTGGGGACTCAGGACCCCAAAACCGGGGACCCACATCCCCCCAATGCCAGGGATTGTGACCCCAAAACCGGGGGCTCGCATCCCCCCGATGCCAGGGGTTGCAACCCCAAAACCGGGGCTCACATTCCCCTAAATGCTGGGGCCCAGAACCCCGATACCGGGGGTTTGCATCCCCCCCAGTGCTGGGGCTCGGGACCCCAATACCGGGGCCTCGTGCCCCCCCAATGCTGCTCAGCAGGTGCTGCCCCTCCCCGGGTCCCTGCCCTGCTGTGGGGTGCCGAGGCGCCAGCTCGGGGTGCAGAGGCCCCGGAGCAGGGTGTGGGGGCTGCGGGGGCTGCGGGGGCAGGGGGCTCTGCGGGCGGGTGGGGGAGCAGGTGGAGGCCGTTGGGAGGCCGGTGGCTGGGGACCACCCCGGTTTTGCCCCTCGGGGACACCAGCAGCTCCAGCCTGCAGCGTGCAGGTGCCGAGAGGGCGAGGGGCTGGTGGGCTGCTCAACACGCCGGGCACCAGCCACAGCAGCCGCCCGGGCTGGCCCTGTCTCACCCAGACCCTTCCTTCCCCCCTGGTCCCCATTGTGCCAAGCGAGGGTCCCCCCAGCATCTCCTGGTTTGGGCACTGGGGACTTCCTGGGCGCATCCAGCCCACCCAGAACCAGCGACCCTCTGCTCCTCGTGGGCACCTCGCCTCGCACGGTTAACTGGCCACTGGCTAGCGAGATCTGGCTGCTCAACAGGTCGCACTCACCACCGTCTGCCTCCCCCCTGGGGAGCCCTGTGGAGCTGTGGGGCACTGGCGAGGGACAGGGTGGGTGTTTCCTGGGGCTGGGGTGGGCTCTGGCTGGCTCAGGGCTGGGAGCGGCACAGGAGGCTCTGGCAGGGGCCTGAGGAGGTTTTGGAGGCTGGGGTGCAGTGTCTGTGGGGCTGGGGGCTCCCCTTGCTGCTGGAGGGGCTGGGGGCTTTGTGGTGCGAGAGCTCGCCAGGGCAGGGCTGCGGCTTCAGGCAGCTCCCGGTGCCTCGGTCCCTGCAGGAAAGTGGCTCCTTGGGGAGGAAAACGTGTGTGTGATTTGCCAAAAGGCAGCAAAGGAAAGGGCTGAACCGAGGGGCACGATGTGCCCTGGGGAGCGGGATGAGGAGCTGCAGGGACCGGCTGAGGGGTCTTCCCCGGGGTGGAGGTGCCGAGGGCTGGGGTTGAAGTGGGGTACAGCTCCTGCCCCCCTCCCCACGCTGCCTTTCACCCCCCTCCGCTCTCCCCTGAGCTCCTCCGGCAGCCGTGGCTCTGGATAGACCCTCCTGGCGAGCCCCGAACGCTGGAGCTGCTGATGGCCAGGCCTTTTGAGTCAAAATTCTATGATTCTAAACCCCACGACTGACCCAGGGCAGGGGCTCTCCCCACCGAGCTGTGGGTGCAGCGACTTCTGGGGAGCTGGCCTTGCTTTGGCTCCTGCTTGCCCTGGGCTTGGGCTGGAGGGGGGTCCTGGCTGCCCTGAGCCCCTGGTGCCCAGTGAGGCTCGGCTGAAAGCCTCCAGCTCCTGTAAAGGCTCCGCTGGTCCCACTGGTGCTGCTCCTCTCTCCTCTGCTCCCACTGCCACCAACCGTCTCGAGCAGCTGGAGGTTCTGCATCTCCACGTCTGGCTGCTCCTGCGGTTTGTCCGGGCAGGTCGCTGCTCTCCCCCCTGGGTCTGGGGTCTCCTCGGAGTAGAGACTCTCCCATGCGTCCCCTCCTGACCCTGATCCGAAGCCGAGCATCGCACTCAGGGGAAGGAGGGACATTTCTGCCTGAGGGATGACCTGGGGCACGGCCCTTCGGGAAGGGACACGGAACCCTGCTCTCCCCGTCACAGGGCCCTGGGAAGAAGCTGATGCTCGGGCTGGGCTGTGCCATGAGCCCGTCCCCAGCGGTGAGGTGTTGGCAGCGGGGAAGGGCTGAGGAGGCGACGTGCGCCGGGGCAGGGTCGGGCGGAGGCGCAGGGCTCGGGGCTGGAGGCAGAGCCGGGGCAGGAGCCCGGTTTCCCGAGTCTGTCTTTACTCCATCCGGAGACGAGGAGCCCCCGGGCCCCAGACAGAAGCCACTCTCGGGGCGAGGATGGGCCCAGGAGGAGAGAGAGGAGCCGGCGGATCCTGCCCCATCCAGGTGTTTCCTGGCGGAGCGTGGCTGGACGTGGGCTCAGCCCAGCCCCTTGGCTCGGCGCCGAGGACCGAGCTCCCCGTGGGTGCCCGGGGCTCACCGGGGTGTCCCTGCCGGGTGTCTGGGCGGGAGCCACCTTCCTGATGGCTCCTTGGAGCCTTGTGTGTGCTTCATGGCACTGGTGTGGGACAGCCGCTTTGCCTCGTGTGAATGGGAACCAGGGACAAAGCGACGTGGCCAGGGCCACCCCAAGGTGGTGGGAAGCCAGGGGCTGTGTCCCAGGCCAGCACTGGGGCTGGCTGTCCCGGCCGGTCGGTGCTCCCAGGCGTGGGGAGAGGGCGGCTCCGCGCTCATTCACGAGTCGTGGGGGAGTTTCCTGGTGGAGCCTTGCTCCTCTAACTGGAAGGGAGCTGGAAACCCAAGTGTTTGGAGGGCACTCGAACCATTGTTTGAAAGATCTGTAATTTTCCAATCAAACTCCCTCCCCAAGCCTCCGTTCATCAAATATTCATGGGATCCATTTTCTCCTGGCACTCCCAGCCCACGTCTCAGCCCGAAGAATCAATCAGGCAGCTCTGCTTGCTCTAATGCATCCTGCGTTTTCGGGAGCCTGGGGCTGCCGTCTCCTCCTCCCGCCTCCCCCCACATCCCCTCTCCTCCCAGGGCAGCAGCGATGGCCGGGGCTGCGCAGGCAGCGTGGGGAGGGCACCGAGAGGGAAGGAGCGGGACCGAGGGCTGGGGCGACGTGGCCGGCTGTGGGGTGGAGGCAGCCAGCGCCGTGGGGCAGCCTGAGAGACCTCAGAGACCTGAGCGGGCCGGTGGGGACCCGGCTTCCTCGCCCGAGCCGCTGATTTATTTGCCTTTGCGATCGATGAGTGCTGGCCCCCCGGGCTGCTGCGGCCCCCTCCCCTCCGCCAACGAGGGCGTTCGATAGCGGCCCGGCTGCTAATGGCTCCGTGACGGAGGCTTTGCAGACTCCCCACGGCAGCGTCACTCCGGGCCCGGCCAAGGGGCCCGGCTCTTGGCGTGGATAAGGTGGTGTAAATCGGTGTCGGCCCCTCGGCTGCCGCCCCCGCTGCCGTTTGCACGGGCTCTTGGCCCCGCACCAGGGCCGGTCTCCCCGCGGTCGTGGCCGGCCGGTGTCGGTGTGGGGGTCTGGGCGGTGGGGCCCCGCGCAGGGCCCTCTCCCTGCCCTCCCCCTGGCACGGGGCTGGGCGGGTGGGACGGGAGCGGAGGTCAGGGGAGCGGAGGAGCCGCTTGAAACGGCTCTTCGCACATTTGGATGAGCTAATGGGAAAAAAACAGAGGAAGGCAAATAAACATTATTGTTTCATGTCAGGCGGGGAGGAGACAAAAGGTCACAGGCTTCCCTTGTGATGGTAGGAAACGGCAGCATCAGCAGGGCTGGAAAGGGCTGGAGAGCCAAGGGGTGCGAGCACGGGGCGCGTGTGTGCTCACACGTGTGCGGGGGGGCCAGCTGGGGGCTGGGGGCTGCTGCCGTGGCAGTGGGAGTTCCCGGGGCATCCTCCCCGGTCCCGTCGGCCTCGTGCCCCGCGCCACGGCCCGTGGCTCTCCCGGCCATGCGGTGCAGGCGGGAACGGCTCCCGGAGCTGCCCTGGGACACGCGCGACATGGACTCCGGGTGGAAAACCAGGAGCCTGCTATCGGGAGCCCGTGAGACCCGGTGAAATGAGGGGGGAGGCAGGGCTCGCTGCGGGTTTCTGGGGGGCTCGGTGGCCCTGGGGTCTCCTTTCCGCCCCTCCCCGGCACCCAGGATGGATCCGGAGCTCGTGATGTTGTGGCCAAACCCCCCGGGGAGGCCCCGGTTTCTCTGTGGCCGGGGGGTGCGGGGGGTGCCGGGGGTGCCGGGCCCGGGGCGCAGCGCTCCCAGCCCCGGGGGGGCCCCTCGGTTCCCCCGCGCAGGGACCGGCCGCTCTGCTCCGTGTGGGGGGGCCTGGGGAGGGCAGGGGCCTCCTGCACCCCGGACCCCCGGGCTCTGCTTTCCTACCCCCGGCAGCAGGGTCCTGTCGTGCTGACCCCCAGGGACAGGGTGCGGGGGGGTCCAGGGGCTGCTGGGGGGCACGGGACCCCTCGACCCGTCCTTCTACCTTACTGCCCTGTCCGAGTGGGCAGGGACATGGGGGCACCAGGGGTGTCCCCACCCTGTCCCCCTCTCGCCAGGGTCTGGGGGGATGGATGAGCCCCCCCGGGGCAGTGTCTCGGGTCACGGCAGGGCTGGGGTGCGCAGGGGGCTGGGGGGGCATCCAGCCTGTTGTGTCTCTCTCCCTGGGCCAGGAAGATTCCTGGCGTTCAACCCGGGAATGTGGAATCTGTAGCAAATAATGGAAAATAAAGAGGATGGAGGAGGGAGGAAAAGCAGAGCAGAACGTTTCAGGAATGCGGGAAAAGTTTGGATCCATCGAACGGGGCAAGATCCAGGAGAGAAAGAGGCCTTGGGCTAAAGCCCTCTGAGCTTGGGGTGCCGAGAGCTGGACGCAGGGGGGACCCCTGGCCCCAGAGCAGGAAGGTGCCCATGAAGGGCAGCCCTGGGGCCGTGGGGGTGATGCCAGCCTGGCCCCACAGCCACTCGGGCAGCCCTGGCTCGGGGCAGGGCACGGGGGGGGTGGCCAGTTCCTCCCTTCAACTTTTGCACAGAATTTGTCCTCACACAGAGCCGTCCCAGCTGCCCCGGATCCCAGGGGGCTCATCACTGGTTTGGAGCTGGTTTTGGGGGGGCAGGGGGGGAGGTTTCACCCCCTGGGCCAAAGCCTGGGGCAGGGTGTAGGGCCGTGATGCAGATCCTGCTCCCAGCACCCGCTCGGTGTCGGGGCCCTGCGTCCCCACAGACCCCACACCCGCCCGGGGGGGTCCCACCAGATCCATCACTGTCCCTGTCCCAGGGTTGTGCCACTGGAAGAGAATGATGCTTTGGGTCTGTCTGTCCTGAGAAAGTTTGTTCCCCTGTGTCAGGGGATGAGGTGAGACCCCCGGCGTGGGGCTGGGGAAGGGCAGACCCCTCTTGCAGCCTTGATGGGTCGGCAGAGGGGGCTTCCCTTGGGAAATCCACTGTCCCAGCCCTTCTCCCCACGGGGGGTTTGCAGGGTGCAGCTGGTGTTTGGGGCAGGGGGGGAGGGAGTGGGGTCACCCCCTCGTCCCCTCCGTTGTCGCTGTCTGAGCGGCAGCAGAGCACGCAGGGACGGCGAGGGGGCTGGCAGACACTCCTGCTCTCTTTGGGTTTGTAATTAAATTCCCGGCCGGAGCACAGCGTCGTGCGGCCAGGCGTCACCCCGGGGAGGCTGCGAGCGGGGGGTGTGCGCCTGCGCTCGCAAAACAGTCACAGCGTCGTCGCAAACAGCACAAAAATAACTGCTACAAAAGCGACACCTTCCCCGGGTTGTTTTTCTGGCCTGGATTTCAGGCGCTGCCAGGATCCCGGGGCGCGGGGTGAGGGGAGGACGGCGGCTCCGAGCAGCTTTGGGTTAATCGCCGGCTTCCAGGAGACGGGGGGGGTCCTTTCACCCCGGCAGACCCCGCGTGGTTTGGTGCAAAGCCCAGCTCTCCCACAGGTGGTGGGCTCGTGCAAGGGCACACGCGTGTGCAAGGGTACATGTGTTGGTACATGTGGCCCGCTCCCAGCCCGGGGAGGTACCGTGGGGGGGGCAGCAGCCCGTGCCCACCCTGTGTGTAAAACCATCTTTGAAAAAGCCCTTAATGGGAGCGTGGAGGAGATCTCCCGCCCCCGCCGCCCCCAGCCCCGGGCCATCTGCAGAGCCCAGCCTGCACCCCCGGGGAGCAGACGATGCGGCGGCGGGGGGAGAGGGGTGGGGGGAGCCGGGGTGTCTGCAGCGTGTGGGGGCCGGGCAGCACCTGGGAGCCCGCGTTGTCTTCCAAAATGGGCACCCCGAGCTGGGCTGGGGGCACGGGTCTGCCCTCCCCGGGCCTTGGCTCCCATCGGTGCCATAAGAAGCCGGGGATGGCTTCACCCTGTGCCGGTGCCTCTGTGGCCCCCACGCTGGTGGGTGTCCCCGAGCACTCAGCCACGGTGAGACCGGGCTGGGACCCGGCTCCTGGCACTCACTCCCTGCTAATGGATTTTCCTGCTGTGCTGGGGACATGGTGCTGTCGCCCCTCCCTGTCCCCCCCCGTCCCCCCAGCCTGGGCTGGGACTGCCGGTGGCCCTGGCCACTCCACTCCCTCCCTCTGTCCCGCTGGGAAGGGTCCGTCTGCCTCCTGCTTTAATGGCACTTTGCAAAGCCCTGGGGCCTGGCCGAGTGTACGGGGACAGAGCCGGGGGGAGGCAGGGGCGCCCCGCTGCCCCCCCTGCATCAGCCATCGCCGCTCCATGCGCTCAGCCGGGGCAGGAGCTCCCGGGAGCTGGGAGAATGGACGTGCAATTAACCACCGGGATAAATGAGGCCTGAGAGCTCTCCCCTCCGCTGCCCCGGCGTCTTGCTGTGGGCAGGGGTGTGCAGATCCCCCCTCCCGGCTCCGTAGGGAGCCCCGAGTGCGAGGGAGCAGCCGGAGGGTGGGCTCGAGCACAGGGACCAGAGCCTGGACCGGTGTCTCCTCCAGAGTGGCCCCTGGCACAGCTGCCCCCCCGCAGGCTCTGCCGTCCTTTGCTCTGGGAAATAAGTGGCAATGATCCATCGCCTGATGGTACCTCCGCGCCGCCCACCCTAATTACTGTCACAGCTAAGCACTTCGTTAGCATCATCTGGCGAGCAGCCAGCCTGCTCCCTGCGGCGCCGGAGCATCCCCCGGCCCCGGGCAGCCGCTCTCGGCCCCGCTCTGCGGCTCCCGCTGCCGAACCCGCACCTGATGCCGTGCGGCGCGGGGGCTCTCACCGGGCCCCCCAGGGCTGCACGGATGGTTGGGCTGGTCCAGGGCACTCGGGATGCGGGAAGGGGGGCACGTCGCTGTGAGGGGTCAGGGCACACTCTTCATGCAGCACCCCGAGACCTGCTGCACCCCAGAGCCTGCACCGGGGCTGGTGAAGTGTCTGCCCCTGGCAGCGTCCCCGGGCACGGCCGCGGCACTTGGCGATGCCGAGGCGGGTGCCGGGCCCGGGAGCAGGAGCCCCAGCTGGAGCGGAGCCTGTTGCGATGTGTGTGTCTGTGCGTGTCCGTGCGGCTGTGCACGTGCGGCTGTGTGCGCCTGTGTCTGTGCGTGTGTGTGCGCCTGTGTCTGTGCGTGTGTCTGTGCGCACAGCCCAGAAAGGTCACTGTCCGGGAAAGGTGTCAGCAGCCAAGAAATGGGCTTGGAATGGAAAGTGTGAGCCAGGTTGAACCGCAGGGGTGGCCAGAACCGTCCCGCTCCAGCCTCTCCGTGGTCACCGTTTCCATCTGCGCCGCGGGAGGAGCGGGTCTGGCTGCACCGGGTCACCCCGAGGTGCCTCTCCCGGGGGATTTGGGCAGGGGGACAAGGGGTACCCAGAGGAGCCGTGCGGGCGAGTAGCTCTCGGCTGCGGGGTGGTGAGGGGACAGGGGGAAAGCGGCCGGCGGAAGGGAAGATGCTGCCTTTGTCCCTGCGCTGTGTCCGGTTCGCTGGTGGCACAATGTCCCCATTCACCCGCTGCCCCCACCGCTCCTCCAGGGGGGTGGCCGCGCTCCTCACTGCTGCTCTCCGCTCTCTTGCAGGGTCGTGGAGGCCAGCACCCTTCAGCAGGAGAGGCTGCAGGCCATCGCGGTGAGTCCCCCGGCGCGGTGAGCCCAAACTATGACCCCTGCCCACGCCAGGGCATCCTGCCCTGCGGCGACTCTTCCCAGGGATGCACCACGGCTGGGATGCAGGATCTGGCCAGGCTTGGCTGCTTTGCCAAAGCAGGGGCAGAGCGAGCAACGGGCGACTGGGAGATTTAATTAATGAGGCAGCGCCTTGACGAGCCCCAAGTGAGAGTGAAATGAGTGATGATTCTCCCGCTTGTCCTTTCCCAGGGAAGGGCTGGGGATTGTGCAGGATCCATCCCTGCCCACGGTGGGCACTGGTGATTGTGGGCACTGGTGGTTGTGGGCACTGGTGGTTGCTTTTGAACCCCGTGGCTGCTCCCCTGCCTGCTGTGGCCGCCAGCTCCCCTGCCCCGTCCCGCTATCGGCCGATCTCCGCTGCACAAAGGGCAAATTGTTCTGGGCCAGAGGAGAAGGAAAGCGGGAGCTGCTTCCCGGGCTGGGACCAGCTCCACTGAAACGGTCTGGACTGGTCCCAGGGCGTGCGGTGAGGGGGGGCCGGGCTGGTTCCCCCGGCACTGGCAGCTCTGTCAGCGGGGCCGGGCCAGGGGAAGGTGACATTTTGAGACGGCGAACAGGCTCCAGGCTCTGCCCCAGTTTCTCCGCACTCTCCGTGCCTCAGTTTCCCCCCGTGAGGATGATGCAGGGCTGGGGAGCTCCCAGTGGGCTGGCCCCAAGGCCAGTCTTGCAGCCCTGTGCACGGCTCATGTCCCTGTGTGAGACCCCCCAGCAGCCCCTCACCCCCCTCTCCCTGCTCCTCCCCGCTCGGGGACGCTGCCCGGGCTGGGATGGAGGCATCCCCACCCCAGCAGTGCCCAGCACTGGCCCCCTCCCCACGCCAACCCCAGCTCTGCCGCTGTCGTCCCTCCAGGAGAAGCGGAAACGTCAGACGGAGATCGAGAACAAAAGGCGGCAGCTCGAGGACGACAGGCGGCAGCTGCAGCATCTCAAGGTGAGGATCCCCTGGGACCCCGCGGCGCCTCTGCACCGGGGACGTGCCGGGGACCCCCCGGCTGCGGGGGAGGCCGGACCATCACCCCTCTCTGCTCCCCAGTCCAAGGCTCTGCGGGAGAGATGGCTGCTGGAAGGAGCCCCCACCTCAGCCTCCGAGGAGGACGAGGCCATGAAGAAGCAGATGCAGGAGGATGAGGTGAAGACCAAGGAGCTGGAGGAAACCATCCAGAGGTAACGGGGACAGCGTGGGGCTGGCATGTCAGGGTGTGCTCCGAGGGGGTCTGAGTCCCTCCAGAGTCCCCCCAGCCTTGTTGGGCAGATGGGAGGCTCAGATGCAGCTCGGTTCCACGTGCGGGGCACGAGGTGCTGGGCACAGGAGACACACAAGACACAGCACCGTGCCACCGTGCTCACTCGGGTTCAGCTGTGTCCCCGCTCGGAGGAGAGGATCCACTCTGGATCTCGGAGCTGCCGGGAGAGGAGGTGGCTCCGTGGTGCTGCCGGGGCTCGGCCGCTCTCACTTGGGGACCCTCCGGCCCGGCTCTTGCCGGTGTTTGTCCAGGGGCTGCGTTCAGTCCCATGGCCCCTCTGAGCACAGACACCCCCAAACATGCTCCTGCCTGGGGCGTGGGACCCACAAGCCTTGTAGGGTGTCAGTGGGAGCCATGGTGCTGGGGGCTGGAGCCAGGCTGGGGTGCCCGGGGGGGCTGCTGGGTGTCCAGCACCCACCATCACAGGGGCAGGGAAACGGGGGGCTGGTTCCCTGTGACCCCCATCCCCACTGTGGTGGCTCAGCCCCTGGGAAAGGGGGAAGGGTGGGAGGTTGGGGGGAAGAAGGCTCAGCCCCTGCCCAGCCCCCTCCTCCCTGGGCTGCTGAAGGCGGGGGGGGCTGGGAGCCCCCGGCACGGAGGTGTCCGGGCAGCCTGGCCGCCCTGCAAGAATGCAATCAGTCACGGCTGTGCCGTTAATTACCGAGCATCGGTGCAGAGAGGGGTCAGGCACGAAGGGGCCTTTGTGTCCGGCTAATGGCGCGGTGCATTCCTCCGCCGGCGCCTCGCGGGGGGACGGGAGTTAAGGGGGGGCTCTGCCGGGGGGTGCCGACCGAGGGGCCCTAATTTACACAGACATGAATCCGTGGGGATTCCGTGACCTCCTGCCGTGTCCCGGGGGGGGGGACCCGCTGCTGGCACAGCTCTTGGCCGGGCTCGGTGGCTGGGAACGGGCTGTTGTCCTCCTGGGAACCTCAAGGAGGATTCGGGGGACACGTGCAGGAGCAGAACGGTGACGGAGGGAGGTTGCTCCGTCCCACCCAGCGAGGGCACGGGGACAGTGAGAGCTGGGGGGTCCCCTGCCCAGTGCCTGTGGGGAGGTTTCTTCCATCCGCTGGGGCCGAGCCCGTCGGCTGGGTGGCCGTGGGGCTGTGATGCTGGTCCTGAGCATCGCTGGCCCCATGGAGCTGGGTGGATGCATGTGGCTGAGGGGCACCCGGGCGAGGGCAGCACCCACTGGTGCAGCCCCGGGGTCTGTTCCAGCAAAGACACGCTTTCCCCCCCAAAGAGACGGTGGTGGCTGTGCCGGAGGTCCGTCTGTCTGTATCCCGCGAACCCTGGGGCTGATTTGTGCTGCCCTCTCCCCTGTGCCATGTTGCTGGCCCGTGTTGGCAGGTCGGCTGTGGCTGCCCGTGGGCTCTGAGCCCCGACTGTCCCCACAGGCTGGAGAAGGAGCTGGAGACGCTGGAGAACGGCAGCTCAGCAGCTTCCACCAAGGAGAACCTGGCGGAGGTGGCAGCGCCGGCCAAGGAGGAGAAGGCAGAGTCCATCCCCAACGCACAGAAGGTGGGTCCCGGGGGGGGGGGGCGAT